TCGAGCGTACACGGCGATATTGATGAAACAGCTTTGATTGCTCAATAGTGCGACCTCCCTTAGCTCAGTCGGTAAAGGCACAGCTACAAAGCAAGACCATACTGGAGGTGGCTGGGTTTGATTTTTGGGCCGGTCTAGGAATTTTTCAGGTTGGAAAATTTCTCGAATTCCCTGGGCATAGAGTATGATTGTACTTGCCACACAATTATTCTAATGCAAAAATGGTACAGGCATCGAAAGCTCTCAATTAAAAATTATGGAAGTGCATCTAGAACCAGACATGGAAAATCATTTGCATTCATTTCGTGCATCAATTTACATTCATTTGCCTCTAACTTTTTTCTTCAACAGAATTCCGCAAAATGATGTATGAAATTTTGTAGGCTTTGTTATTAGCTACAACTTGTGTTAACAAGTCAAATCCGTATCTCTTATGCATGACGAACCAGAGCGAACAGAAGCCACTACTGTTTTTCAGTGAATGTATTTTACATTCACTGAAAAACAGTAACAAGTTCTGCCCACTCTAGTTCGTGATGCATTAGAGATACAGATTTGAGTTATGAACAAAAGTTGTAGCTAATAACAAAACCTACAAAACCTCTATACATCATTTTGCAGAATACTGTTAGACTAGAACACTAAGTTGAGAGCACGCAATAAGCTAATATGCCATACGCAATAAGCTAGAAATGCGAGGAAGTAGAAAGAAGAAAATTGCTGATTCGAGGTAAAAGTCATCTTCAAGGGAAACCATGCCAATTGCCAGTGGCAATCCTGTCAGTGACGAATATGTGTAATTTTTGTTATTTTCTAGATTTGTAATGAAATTAAAACAATTCCATGGAGCCGTTAAAATGAACAAACATCTACATCTTTAACTGCCAGAATGACAATCATGTGACCCAGAATGCATGTAATTATCGTTCTTGTTACCAAGTGAATCCTTGTCATTGTCGAAAACATTATTGAGATTTAGACGAAGGCTTTTTTTTTAGAATAATTTTTCCAGTGACAATGTCAAACATAATGATGTCAATATCGCGTGACATCCTTCAAACTCCTAGCACTGGTCCAGACAAGTACACAATAACGCAACCGAAAAACTAATCAACCGAATCCAGCTGAAAAAAGACGCCACGGAAGAACAAAGAAGCACGTCATCTCTCTTTACAGAAACCCACATCTCTCCTATACAGTTTTAGCCTAAATTTGTTAAACTGGAAAACCAAAAACAGGGCGTCACAATATCACCTTCAATTGACAAAATCTATGCGACGAAGAGACTGCTCGAACAGCTTCGTAGCATTCTAGAAACACATACAAACAAATTTCCAATCGGTTGTCTTTCTTTCTCCCGTCGCTTCAGTGGTCTTTCTTTCAAGCTTCGATGAAGTGGACGAATTAGAGAGCGCTCGAATTGGATACTTTCGTCTTTCATGAAACACATTAACAGAGTTTTCATGACGTTTATGATGGAAAATAAAAATATATATATATATGTAAAGCATTTCTTACGTGAAAACACTATTAATATATCTTCCATCCACATATTTATCTTAAAAAAAGTAGCGAAAAGGGGACATAAAGCATATTAAACAAATTGAAAGAGCAGTGACCGATCGTCGGTGAAAGGGATTGAAAGCTATAATGAAGTTTCGTTTCAACTCAAAAATCGACGTTACTTTCATTGAAAGCGGTGAGAAAAGCAACGACGAGGAAATCCACAGCCAGCCTTCCGTTCTAAACGTGCTTCTTTTCCATTTTCGTCTTGTAGTCTAGCGAGGTGTTATAGAAATGATGCGTTGAACACGTTGTATGATACACAAAACACATACAGTTCATTATAGAGCTTCGAAAATGTAGAGCTTTTGCCAGAACATCGTATAGATAGTGTCCATTTTTTTTTACCCGGCCTGACCCAGAAATCCACCGGTATAACTCTGGTCATAGTGACAAAACAATCATTCCACTGACTTAGCAAAGGGGAAAGGATTTAGGGCTTCAAACAGTCAACTCTTCCTTACTCGATTTATCTTTAACCCGATATCCAACTTATTTGGAAATCCAGAATTCTTCAACCACTTCGGCAATACAAATTTCCAAAATGTACCTCCTACAACTCGATATCTTCCCTAACTCAATGTTTCTTCAATATTAAGTACGTAAGAGTTGACTTTGCTAAATTTGAGTAAATTTTAGTACCTGTTGCAATGGTCTATGTCTTTTTTTACGCAATTATTTTACAGGGTGGTCCAAAATAACTGTCACCGATTGCACAAATATACAATTCTCAATTGGGAAAATGAGTATTTGTTCAAGCACTTTTCATTTAAAGTCTGTACAAATATCAGCTTGTTTTCATATTAGGATTTGAAATTTCATTCGTTTTCGAATTCAAGCAGCCATGAACGTGGAAATAAAGCATACCATAAATCTATATAAATTCGTGTGTTATCTTTTAGAAACTGAAATCTCTTCGAAAGAATGAAACTTTTATTTTTCGCATCATTATAGAGGTAAAAAGGGACCATGCATGGAAAGTCCGTTCTATAACAGAGCTTAGACGCATCGCCAGAACTACAAAAGTGCTGGAACTAAAACGTGCGTTTCCAGCTGTGGTTCATTTTCGTGACAAATGTAACTGGTAATTGAAGGTAAAGGGAGAGAGATATTTGAATTAAAGTATGGTAACTAGAAGGTTATATGTGTAGTATACCTGGAATATACTAATATCAAAAAAATCATGCAAGCGTTCAATGGTTATGACCATTTTTAAAAGTGACTGTTATTCCGAATCACCCTGTATATTAAAAATATCGAAATAGGAATGGTTTATTCAAGATTTTTCGATGAAAAATGTATACAGTAGTCTTCCTTCAGAAGCTTCTACTATCATCAGAGACGTGTTGGGAACTCGCGATATCTGCTATATGCAGTCGGTGTATGTGTTTCTTGAAATGTCTAGTATAAGAATTTAATTCCTTTGTCTTTTGTCTCTCTTTAAAAGTTTTTGTTTGTCTTGTCCCCCCGTCTCGATGAGTCTCATCGTCGCCCACTGGTCACCATAGCCGGTCAAACTCCAGACGAAACCAAAACCGCACTATCGTTCATACTGGCGACAACGCTCTGATGAGACTACGAAACCTTACCCCAAAGCTCCTCAGCTAATATTATCCTTCGACAATGTACCACTCTAACCTCGGGTAAGCCGCGAGTATTCGGTCCAACTCCTACTAGACATAGAATTAAGTGAATTTTATTACAAACAAAGAACAATGAACTATCGGCTCCGTAAAGCTAACGTGATTGAGCCTTCCAAATAAACGAGCTAGTTAAAAAAATCTAAAATATACTGATATCAAAAAAAATCATTCAAGCGTTCAATCATTATGACCATTTTTAAAAGTGACAGTTATTCCGAATCACCCTGTATATGAAAAATATCGGAATAGAAATGGTTTGTTCAAGATTCTTCGATGAAAAATGTCTACAGTAGTCTTGCTTCAGAAGCTTCTACTAACTCCTTTCTGGAGTTTCTGCCCATTTCATTTTAAAGATGTTCAGACTTGCCCAGAAGCTTCCCCTGAAAGTGCCTTCCGACAACTAACGGAAGTTATTTTATGATTTTTCCAAGAAGGTTCTATCACAGTTAATTTTTTTTATTGGATTGAATTCTCAAATTGATTAATATACAGTGCTCAGTTGATACTTATATTTTTAAATTACCATTCGAGTTTCAAAACTGTGTTTAAGCAACTCATGCTCATAAGAATCATTGGATTTACCAAACATGTTTTCAACATTTATTACACACAGGAAAGGTTCTAATCCTAAAGATAACCCATATGTTTTTTGAAAAAATTGGGGTCGTTTAATTCGACCGGTATGTCGAAGCTTTTAAATTTTTAAATGTGTTTATTTTTAAACTTTTCTCAAAGATGATCTAAATCTGCTACGATTTCAATCTTCTTTGAATAAGTCTTAGACAAGATTGGTACTTTGATGTTGTTTTGTCGATTGGTAAATCTTATCTTCATTTTCAAACGAGATACAAATTTTGTTTAGTTACTTACTTACTTAAATATCTTGCTACTTAACGTAATTGAGGTAAGAAGTTGAACATAATTGAAAAATTGCGTTGTTTTTTCATTCCGACTACGAGTATTGCAAGTAAACCCATTAGTTTTCTGAAAAAATCCAAACTATATAAAGGAAATTTTTACAACAACTTTTCAATAAGGCATGACTTAATTTAGACTTTTTAATTTATTTTTTTTTTATTTTCTTAAATCTAATCTGTTTAGTAAAAGGCGTAGATAAAATTTTAAAAGCATTGTTACACAAAAATATCGTTCCAATAAGTAAACAAAAACTTACCAAAGACACTTTGTTTTATCTTTGGGCAAATCTTTGGTTCAATTCAAATCAAATGGCAAAGGTCTCATTGAACTTTTCATAATAGAATAGCTTTTTTCATACAGTGTAGGGTAAGCGAGCCAGTTATGGCAGATCAAGCTAGTTTATTCGGCTTTGTCACATCGTCGCTAAACTTGATTCCAAAATGCACCCTACATTAATTCCGCACTCCGGCAGCCAGCTGAAAGCACCATTCATTTTCCACCTCACCTTTCGACAAAGGAATGCTCCGACTGCCCCAGTGAACCACAATTTGCCCTGCTATCAATTTCCTCCTCTACAAAACAAACCGATAAAAAACGCATCTGTCCCGAGAGTACCGCCTGGCCAAGGGTAAGTATAGTGCAGCAGCCCACACGCACCCTCAATTCCGGACCCGCCAACTGGCTGGGCATATGCATAGGGAATGAACGGTCAGTAAACACGAATCAACAAAAGAGCAAGATCCCTTAGGGCAGTCGGTCCGCGGGTTCTGCGAGTGTGCACAACCGCGAAAAAAAATCATTTTTAATAATGCAAACTGTAACAGTAAATTTAAAAATCACATTTGTCACTCTCCCGGTCCCGGGCGTTTGGCTTACTTTCTTTGCTCACTCTGGTGCTGCGTTGATTCCTCCGCCGGATGGGGGCCAAGTTCGACTTCCCTTTCGTGGGCTGCTGCTGTAGCTACCAAAGCTGAAGGGACTCTTGAGTTATGATTGTTGTTCGCCGGGGTGAAATTCGGTAAAAAATGTTGCCCCACTGATTGGATGCAAATTGTCGCTGCACGCTTGCACTTTAATTTCTCAACGTTCTACTTTTGATTTTTTTTTTTTCGTATGCACACAGTAATTTTTTGGGCGGTTCGGGCTTTCTTCACCACCACGCAAGAACACTTTCACACTGGCCACCAGGCGGCATAAAACACTGCTCACTTCACGTTGCCACTTGAATTCTCGGAAAATCACAGTAAAATGGGTGTACTTCTTGTGTGCCTTCACTACTCAATTCAATATCTCACTGGAAAAAGGCATGCTTCAACAAAAATCGATTTTTCATTCACCACCGCCGCACATCGCACGCTTGCCGAAGCTACAATAGAGTGTATCATTCGCCTTATCTGCTCGCGGCTCTCGTGTACGGAAAACGAAAAGAAGCTATCTTCTTTATTCTGCTATTCATATAAATCTACATTTCCGGCAGTATCAATTTCTCACGTTCGCGCAGACGAAATAAAACGCGAGCAAACAACCGGAGTTCGGTAGTGCGGAATTGAGCTTAGAGCCGAGTAGTTTTTTTTTTCTATGAGGGGAGGCCAGAAGCAGCAGACGCTCCCACCACACGGGGTGCTACGAGACTTCGAAGGCGCAAGATGACAAACTGTTCAACTGACGACTTCAGCTTTCAGACGTCTCGAAGGGGTCTCGTTGGAGTTTTGTGTGTGCACGCGCGCGCAATGGCAATTGACGACGACGGCGACCCGAAATGGTGTGAGCACTCTTCTAAAAGGTCTTCCAAAACAGCTGCAGCATTCACAGCGCTTGTCCCACTAAAGAAAAGCACCACAAAGCATTCAACACCGTCAGCGAGATTCGTAGCTACTACGGAGGTAGGTCTTCTGTTTTGCGAATTCGGACCCCGAACGTCTCGTAATGCTAATTTATATTTTGTTTTCATTAAAACCGACCGTATCTGTTCGAATATTAAGTACGACTGACTTAAGTAGTTGATTTAAACTTAAGTTACCGGAGCAATTTTATATACAAATATCTTTGAAACGAAGGAAGGAGGAAGAAAAGGAAAAAAAGCTGAATTATACTTTATTTCTCTCCCAGGCCGGAGCCTCCAGTAGCCCAGTACGCTCCGGGTTGGGGTCTCATCGGGTTCTCTTTCTCCACGGCTTGTGGTGGTGGCCACAGTGTTACTCTTGTTTGAGAGAGTGAGCGAACCACCGATGACGATCGGATGATGGTTACCTGTGGACACGAACATCACCCGAGTGGGGGTACAAGTCAGAGTCCAGTCGTGCCAGTCAGTGGATCGTTCGTTGTTGAATGGTGAGAACAAACAACAACGGTGTCCACGATCAGCGATCGAAAGGGGGATCGCAAAACATGCCGGAATATACCGCGCACTCAGCCAGTGCTCAGTGGCTCTGCATGATGGGCATGGACGGGCCAGTGCGGGCTCATTAAGACTCTAAAACCGTGCGGCTTCTCTCGCGTGATGCTGCCCTGTTCCAGCATGTTTTGGCATATAACTTTGCCAGCTAGGGTGGTATGCAGGAAGTAGTAAACTTGAGCAATGATTCGATTGTGAACATTTTAATCTTGGGGAATTAAAACTCACAGTAAATCTGGGATTACGACGACCTATTTCCGTGTTCAGAATTTTGTTCGACGAGTAGAGTACGAATTTTGATTTTGAAAGATACGAATGAAACATGGCTCATTTAATAAATTAAATAAATGTTTTCGGTTATTGTCGCGATCCCAGTGGATCGAATAATAAGTTTTATCGCGTAGGTGTTTTACATTAACAACAAAAATGCAAAGGTAGGTTGACCATACTTCGAAAAAACGCTATTGTCCCGTTCAATACGGTACGAACGGGACAGTACCGTTTTTTTTCGACCTTTTGGGGCTTTCAAAGTTTAATTTTTATCCCCGGACAAGTCACGATTGACCTTCAAAGTGTTTAATGATGATATGATGATGATAATATGGAAGTACCACTCACTGTAGATAACTGCCAGTAGCTGTGGACTAACCTCGCTGTTTGACTTGATCAAGTTTAATAACCTCTAGTTGTACTCATCCTGCCATTGTATGAAGGGTCATACACGGTTTGGGTGAATCCGTGGGCATCTTCGACCACGTGCATACACATCTCTTTCCAACAAGAGGATCATACAACCGGTAAAAAACAGGCCATCCAACAGGAGGACGCTCCAATGAGTGGGGAGAAGAGCCCGCCCTCTATTCACGAAATGTTAAAACAGGGCATTTCCACTCTTCCCATCAATTTCGCTTCAATCGGGTGCCCTGGTAGATCCGTACCAAGCATATAATGTTTCATATAATAATGGAATGACAGTTAAGAGAAAAATAAAGGAAAGATCTCACGCGATATGTTGCATAGGAATCCATGACATCACGATGATTTCAAAGAGCTCCCATAGATATTGACCTTAACAAGATTATAACTCTGGGGAGAATTTGATGTGATTGTTGAGGGCGTGTGGTTCTGAATATGGACAAACAGACACAGATAAATTATATTCCAACTCTTTACTGTAATAAGTTTGTTGGCCCTGAAACGGGCCGTTTCGTTGCCAAAGTTGGTGATGATTTAACCTCCGAAACCATACAGAGTGCGTCTGTCGCTTCAAAGTGAAGACGACATCCATGGCCACTTACGCTTGGCGTGTTCAGTGTAGGTGACAGCATCACGGAACACCTTCAGCACACCTCGTGTTGTCTCGTAGATCAGACCGGAGATACGTTTGACACCGCCACGGCGAGCCATACGACAGATGGCGGTTATCACGAAGAACCTTGCGATGACGCTTGGCGCCTCCTTTACCTTTTCCTCCTTTGCCACGACCAGTCATTGTTGCTTGTTGGGTAGAAGAGTGGACTACCTAATCTGTCACCATCACTGCTGCTATTTATGCTTCTGCTGCCTGTTCACCACGCCGTCCGAAGCGAAAATGAGTTGAGGCTTTTAAATGATCTTTATTTCTTGTATTTGTGTGGTTTACATTACTTATCAAGTGACACAGGTGCGTCTTTTCAACTTTAGTTCTTTTGAAATTTAAATTATTATTAATTACAGTTCCTTGCCCTATCAGGTCTGTTTTAAGAATGACCACCTTGGTGGGATTGGTTTGTTTATATGAGTTGAGGCTAGACATCAGCGCTGTTTTATATCTTTTCAGGTTAAAGCAGAATGATGTGCAACCAAGTGGTACTCGATTATGACGACTGGGTTTGGGAAGAACGTTTATTTCATGAAAACAGTGATACAATTATCACTTTTAATTTGCACATTGAGCAATGCTTGACATTGCCACTTTTACAATAGTTTCTTGTTGAAAATCATCAGTCGGAAGCATTGCTATAGATGCATAGGAATATGTCTGATCGATTGGTGATAAAATTATTGAAATTGTTCCAGGGGCAGCTGAGTTATTAATGTTCAAAATCTTTCATAATTTTGTTTCATGTTCCATTTTTGGTTTTCACCAAGTGTACCCCCAGTATAGAAATAAAAGACGTAGTCCTACGTCAAAATGGAAGTTGTCACTTCAAAAATATGCGATGGACTTATGATATCTTCGGGTATTATGTCTATTATGCTATTTTTACTTTGGAATACAAAGCTGTAAAGCCAAGAGATATTCAGAAGATCTGGTCACTAAATATACTTAATCAGTATCATATCAAGCGGCGCATATGGTGTAATGTGATTGCCTCTCACCCCAGCAGGCCTGGATTCAATCCCATTCGGCGCCGCCGGGATGTTCTGAGGCATAACATCTCTGATCATGACTTCCTTCGGAAGGGAAGTAAAGCCGTTGGTCCCCGGTTCATGAGCTGATGGGTCGATAGGTAGAGTCCAGGTGTGGGAGCTGCCTCCCTGGCGTCGGTAGCATTGGTGCTCAGCACGAAAAAAAACAAGATCGACGGAAAACAAATCAAGGAAAAAAAGTATCATATCAATCAAGATTTGTTTCTTAGTTCTGTACTACAATACTTGGGGACGACGGGAGAAGACGACCATATTATTAAAACAATAAACTCTTTACAAAAATAAATGAGTTCTATAGTATAGTTGATATTTCAAAACTCAGGTGAAACGTCAAAATGAGCAAGATAACCAAACATTGTGTACGGCAACTCCCGTAACTTATTATTCTGTGTTTAGGGAATTTAATCTTTTAAAGCTATTACATAATTTATGCCGTAGAAGTGATGTTATTATTATTAAACCGCTAGTCTATTCGATGTAGCTATAGAATAAAATAAAAACAAATCTTCAGATGGTAAGGTTTTGCAGAAACAGTAACAGGTTGGCTTACATCGGGGTATGACGTTCACTTTTGGATGGGATGTGCTACATTTCAAGGACGGGGCTGAATGCAGTTAATAACTATATCTCCTTCTGAAATATATCAGACATTTTCAAAAACATTTGTAGATCTGCAATCAGAATGAATTCTGAATACGGAGGCCCCGGGGCATCTGGAATATCCATAAAAGTGGTAAATTCATGAAACTAGGTTCTGGCGCTTAGCGAAGTTTCTGTTTCCGGCAATATTGGTAAGATGATCAAGGCCTTCCAAATGGTGATGGTGAACAGGTACACACTAAGAAATACCTTATCTTACACGTGACGGAATCCATCTTTGACATAAAGGATGAGACGTAAACAAACATGTCATGTAAAATTAAGTGCTCCGAAACTGAAAAGTTCGATAGTACGTTTGATTGAGCTGAATTTTGCGTCTATTATGATTCAATTTTATGTCAAAATTGACGCTCGTATATGTCAGTCTCAGAGCACTTAAATTTACATCAATATTTTCAAACGTGTAAAGTTGGACTTATCTTACAACGTGTAAATGTTTTTTGCTCATATCTCTGCCATTTTACGACCAATTTTCGATCTTTATAGGTCATTTGAAAAGTATTGTATTTAGCTCGTAGGTAGCTAGTTTAATACATATATTTTACAACTTTTGTGATGTGGTGTGAATGGAACCCACCATCAGTGCAAGGATTATCAATGTCTGCATATACTTTACCCGTTGTAAAGTTCTACCTGATGGTTTCTTGCAGCAGGGTGAATCAGCTTCATTGAAGGCCTTTGGAAGACAAATCGACCAGATGGCCATTTGTAATCACGTGTCAATGGACTGGCATATCCACGAACCCTCTTTCAGTCAACAAGTCATTTGATTCTCTTAGGCTGCCCCAACCAAGTATATAATATAATGTTTTATAATATATGCTTTACAGTAATGTTCCATCCTCTGCATCCAATTTATTTAAACTCTCTTTTATTGATAAAATTAATTTTTATTGTTTTGTACGGATGCTTTAAGATCTTGTTTTCTCATGGAATTCGTATTATTTTAGAAAAGATTATTGAAGCGGGGTTGAAAAAAAGGGTTATTTATGCATTAAAACAACTTATTTCAATGTATTTACCTGTACAAACGAACTTACCTTTTGATGACGACAACTTATCGTACATCGTGCGCCTAATAATGACAAATTAATGTTCAT